TAACCCAACCTATGACCCAACAGCTTCAACCCAGAAATTGGGTTATGAAAATAACCCAGCATTTTTTACTGTGTACACATACATAATAATTTAACATAAAGCATGGACACCTCAACAGAGTTGTACTCCAATAAGTTAATTTAAAGTAATTAGTACAGCAAACTTTATCTACACAACCTAACATTCCTAACCCTATCAACCCTAACATGCAATCATATGTTGGACATTTTCACATTTTGGCTACAACTCCCCCTGAAAGTATTTATTAAAGATGTCTGTTTTCTGTTTTGTTTTCCCTTACTTATTACGTTTTCTATTGAAATTCACAATAATTATTATTACTAAAATATCTCAGAATGTGTTAATTATTAATTCATTATTATTATTCCTGTTTTATTCCAAAGTTTTTCTGAATACCTGGAGCTTAGTGTTCCAGGTAGTCTCTCTCTCTCTCTCTTACACACACACACACACACACACACACACACACACACACACACACACACACACACGCACATTTGCGTGGCTATCTTTGTGGGGACTTTCCATCGACTTCCATTCATTTCTACAGCCTAAACCAGAGGTGTCAAACTCCAGTCCTCAAGGGCCGCTGTCCTGCAACTTTTAGATGTGCCTCTGCTGCACCACACCTGAAAAGAATAACTAGGTCATTAGCAAGGCTCAGGAGAACCGATCTACACAGGGAGGAGGTAATTAAGCCATTTCATTCCACTGTTTTTTACCTGTGGCACATCTAAACACTGCAGGACAGCAGAGGACTGGAGTTTGACACCCCTGGAAACCTTACCTTTACCCTTTTCCTAACCAAAACTCAATTCACACCTTAGTCCTAACTCTAACCAGTGGCGCAACTGCACATTATTCAGGTGGATGCGAAAACATAGATCGGCCGGCGCTTCCCCCCCCCCCTGAAGGAAGGAACGTCATTGTAGAAAATCAAAGTTTATGTGGTAAACACATCTGATAGTTTGACACATTTTTCTGAATGGGCTTTTTAGCTTTTGTCGTAGTTTTTCTGACCTGCCCAGTCTCGTATCTTCTCACTTTTCTCGGACTCCGGTAGCAGCTAACCGTTAGCTGAAATGGCTCTTTTTATAACGTTAGAGGCGAGGGGCGGGACAAGGAGAATCAAGGGATTTAATTGGATAAACCCAATGTCCGTTAATAAAATCAACCAATGGGTTGTTGCGGTCTATAAAAGTTATATTTAACATACTTTTTTTTTTTTTGTTAAATTATGACAGCGTAGGGCCGCTAGCACAGTAAGTGCTTCACTCTGTAGTCCAGACGGTCAGTCTTCCCCCGGACAGAAGTTCAAACTGAATGCAGCTTTTTTTTTCTTCTGTTCAAATTGTCAACCCGCCACAGTGGCGGGTGGGTTGCTCCAATTTACACACCACTTCATACTTCCATGAAGTGGGGTGCTAATTTCCACCCCTGGACCAAGTACGTAAGAGTGATGGAGATGGACATCCACTTATGTTCTGCTTCTTTCTGGTTAACACGGGACCTACTTGCCAGGCTACCGACTTGTTGGATGGGAGAATTTTCCTCCTCATTGGAGACACTTGGTTGTTGGAGGTCTTTGGGAACAAAGAAGGACATCATTAATATAATTTAATTGATGTCTGCATCAGATCAACCTGGAACATAAAATATTGACGTCTGTAGCTGCCAGTATTTTACTGTAAATTTTAGTTGTACTACTGCATTCACTTTATGAGTAAGCTACTGCAAAAAATTTAATGCAACATTTTAATGTACAGTCTTAGTTTTACGATAGAATAGTAATAATACTTTACCCAATGTAGGCTTCTTGTTATAAGTGCTAAAATTGGTGCGGTTCTAAAATGCATAACCATAATGTCACATAACACAAAAGAGGATGCAATAAGTAACCTTCAGAACAAAATGTTTATTGAAAGGCATCACTTAGCCTCAAACCAGATCTGCAGTATATTCAAACATATTCAAAACAAAACACATAACCATTCCTCAGAAACTCATAAACTGGGTTTAACTGATTATACAATCTTATGAACATAAAAACACAGTTCTTAAAGAAACATCCATGCTTTGGGTATCACTAAACAAATCAAAGAAAAAAAGACTTCCAAAATCAAAAATTCAACGTGGTTGAAATAATGTCTGAACAAGGATTCTAGAATCACCTTTTACTGTTCTAGACAGGGTTTTAAACTGTTAATTATTAATGCTTTTCAAGAGTTCAAGTGGCACTTACTTTATTACATGCAGGTGAAGGCACCGTCCAACATGGAAAAATATAAGACAATATAATTTAGATCTTAAAAACCGATATGGAAACAGAAATATTTCAAAGAAAAAAAGGACAACAACTAACCTGTATTAAATGGCTCTCAAAGTCCATCAGGTTTTTGATGAGGGTGGAAACCTGCATATTCACTGTCTGCTTTTTCTTTTGGATGATCTTTCCTGTCTTTTTGGATACCATCCTCCCATTGCCAGTCTTTGTCCCCCTTTCTGGGTTAATCCCAATGAAGCGACTAAAAAACACAATCAAAAATGAAAAGGTTTTGGAGAATATAAATAGTGTGGCACTCTGAAGACAGCAAGTACAATATATAAAGCTTTCTTTACTTAATGTGGAGAAATTATCCTGTTTTTAATTATATAAAGAGAAAACATCACCAACTTTGTCAATTGTTACTTTAAAACTTTAAAGCTTTAAAACTTTAAAACCAAGTCATTGTATTTTGTTCATTGTAAAGTGTTTTTAAAAAATAAAAAATCATAGGAATGGTTTTACCGTTGAATGAACTCCAACGTCTTGGCTGCCTCATCTTGATATTGGAGGTTGAAGATGTAGAAGGTGGCAAACACCGCTGCAAGTCCTGTCAGAAATGTTGGCTGGACCCCCTCAAAGACAACATGGCCTTCAATGCTGACCATCCATCCAGCCAATGCTTGCTCGTTACCACCTAGCAAGGACAGAGAGAAACTTCTGTTGCATTTTTCCTCATACAACGAATGAGGAAAACGTACACTTGGTAATATATTGGCATTGAATTTATTTAAGGTCATTATGACAAAGCTATTCTAACAATGGCTTTTTAACTATATTAAGGTGCCATTAACAAAGTGCGCACGTGAGGTGACTGCGTTTGTTACGCCTACAGGCTTGTATTTTTATACGGTAAAGCGCCGGCGACATTTCAAAGATTAATGAACAGAGTGGCTGGTGGGGCATGGCTGGCTAAAGCAGGGCTCCCTATAAGAACCTGCCTTTTATGGGCGGGGGTGTGACGGCCCCCTGCCGTGTTGCATTGTGGCCTGTTAACTGTTCTTCAATGAAGGTCTTGGAGTTAAGAGGCGCTTACGGTCACATGTCCACCAGGATCACGTATATAAGGAGCGCCCATTCCATTCATGGCAGATGAGATTCAGGCCCAGAACCCGACAAGAGCCAGATCTAGATCCAGGGTTGGAGCCGGAGCCAGATGGCATGAGGCGCATCGGTCGCTTGACACGGTGTAGGAGGAAGATGTGGTTCGGATGGACCACACTGGATGTGTCGCTTGACCAGACTTGGGAGCAGAGGCTGAGACCTGTGGGCGCCAACCAGTCCATGACTGAGGGAGAGCTGCACCATTCGGGAGGACCAAACCGAAGGGAGCGCATGGCGATATACCAGTTCTTAGGCTCCTGCAGCAACCATTTTAATAAAAGGCATTAAAAGGCTTAAAATGGTTCTTGTTGTCGTGTCCTCCCAGTTTCTTGTTGCAGTCATCTGAGCCAGGCCGTAATAAGGACATTGCTATCCAGTCTTTTTATTCTGTCTAAATATTCTTTTTAAAGAAATACCTATGTAATTGGGAAAAAATATGCTAAGTATTAAGCAAAACCTGAAAACATTAATAATTCACTTACACAATATTAGACGAGGACTGGCTGGCAAACTTAGGCTTGTATTAACATCAGCTGCTGTTGCGTACTCCTGTGTAGCATGAACAACAGCATATTAGAAAAACAGTATGCATATGAAAAAATGGAAAAAACTTGTAATGTTTATATGCGATGATCTTACATCAGTAGTCAGCATTAGGCTGTCAGGTGACTCGTTGAAATGGGCCATCAAAAGCTGGATGACAAGGAATGTTAAGTCACCAGTTGCCTTTTGAGCCAAAATTGTCTGGACACTGGAAGCCTTTACTTTAGTGCGGAAATACTCTACAACAGCATTACCACACTCCTCAATTGACAGTTCCAGGACATGGAGAAGGGGAACATCAGTCAACAACTCAAAGTGAGAAAAGATTCCCCTCTGTGTAAATAGGAAAGGCCAGTTGATTCGTAAATCAGTAATGGAGGGAGCAGGTATCCTATTTATATGTTGACGCTGAAGGCTGTATGTAGTCTCCATCAGGTCTGTCACTTCTGGCCTATCATGTCCATTGATGCCATACTTGTTGAAGGTACTCTGTAGTCTTTGACGTTTCTCCTCCACTGTGTCATCAGTTTCCTCTGGGGGGAGTTCTGGCTGGAACCTGGTACACCCATACATGTCTGTTGGTCCCCGTTTGACTCCAGCTATGTCACAGGGTCCAGATGATCTGTAACTTCGAAAGGTCCCACAACGGTTTATATTCTCAATTCTTGTTTTAAGTTGAGAGAGCAGAGAACTATACCCTCCAGCAATTAGCTTTCCACTTGGTGTCATATCAGCAAAACTATCTGGGTATTGGCGGGTTATCTTCTGGCAAACTGTAAGGCATTGTGAACGTGTGGGGTTAGCCTCATACTTCTGCATTTCATCTGCAAGAATTCTTATCATTTGCCGTCTCTTGTCAGGAGGGGGTCTTTTGCCTTTTGCAATTGCCGTCTGAATCTCCAGTGGCATCTTGTTCCATGAAACTTGAAAGTCTTCTGGCCAAGACCAGGATACATTTTGTTGTTCATTCTGGCATAACATAAGAGGTGTTTTCAGTGCTGAAGGTTGTTCTGATATTGGTGGTATGCTGGAAAGCGAGGATGTGGAGCTACTTGGAGGACTGGAAAAAGGCAATGCAGGTGAGAGACTGGAAAACTCCATGTCAAGTATGACTGTGTTTGTTTCTGAAATCATAAAAAGACATGTATTTTAAATGTAAAACATGCTTTTTTTTGGTCAGCAACATCTAAAATAAGATAGGGTTGTTTACCTTGCTTGAATGACTCCAACAATTTGCGTTGTTGAACAACAGGCAGCAGATTCTTGATGTCCTCAGGTTGAATATATTTCAGATCTTCTGCAGACTGAACCCCAGAAATTACAAGTGTAGAAGCTAGTTTTTTTTGAGTGTCCTCACAAAGATTGGGCAAAGCCTTGATCATTATGTCCTTTATTGTGTTATCTAACGACGACATTTGTCTAAAACACAGGAATAGCATGGTAGAGTATTAGAAGAGATACACCACAAAGCATATATTCTGGAAGTGGGTAAAAAAAAATCAAGCAGTACTTCTGATTTGACACAGCAGTAGGATAATTTGCAAATACTTCTCTATCAGACCACTGAGGTATGTGATCTGACCAGGAGTCATCTTCGGAGCACAAACAAAACTGACAATCTCCAAGCTAAAAAATTAGCTGCCACACTTCAATATCTGATGCTTTGTTTATTTTGTCCCCTGAGAAGACACCAGTTTTGTACTGCATGACCAGATAGTTTTCCAGCACCTTGGTTTACTTTGTAAGGTTTATTACTTGCATTATTGCCAAGATATTTAAATCCATTTATGTGCCGATTCAGTTCAAGGTAGGATAAGTGTTTTTCTTTTGTTATGAGGTGATTCATGAATAATGCCAAATCTGAGGAAACAATGCCCTCAAAAGGTCACGGCCAAGGTAGGGAGGTAATCCAGGCTGGCAAACATGAAAGTGAGCAAGCTCATTGAATATTGTGTCAAATTTTATGCCTTTAGCATTACTTGCTCCAGCATTGGTTCTGTTGATAAAAACATTTTCTTTATATTACTTTACAGTGCAGTAAGGGCCTATGGTGAAAGGATCAGTCAGAAATGTTTGTTAATCAATCTTACAGTACAGAGACAGTGCAAAAATACAAAGTCCTCACAAATCTTTCCAGAAAACCCCCAATCCTGTGTGAACCCAAGTTTTCACCTGCAATGTCACGCAGAGTCCCTTTGGTAACCATACCATCTGGCAAAGCAATACCAGTTAATTTATGACTTTTTAGATCTTTCAGGGACCTCAAGACAAGATTTTGTCCAAAGTACTTAGACTCTTGTTCTCTACAAAGTAGCACAAGTTGCATTTAATCAATGATGGATCTGTTGTGTGACAGAATATTTGCAAGTGTCAAATACACTGCTAAAATCTTGTGCTTCTTTTTTCCAGAGCCAAGAGGATTTGCAATCTCTAAAGAATCCTGATAAAAAATGACACCCAGTGAGTATTCTGGATCCTTGAACAGTATGTTTTCAACAAAATGTGTGCCATCCCAAACATCCTGAACGAATTCGTCATTTTCCTTGATGGATTTTAGCAGTTTATACTGTTCCCACACTGATTTACACTTAAATAGGGACTCTACTGTTTGTTGACGGATGTTCTGTGCAAAACGTTCTGTGCCTGATTCATTCCGACCAAGACAGATGGATACTAATTAAAGCAATCTTTAAAGACTGTTTTCTGCAGTGATCTGTGTGAGGCGCCTCTTTATTGCAAGCCCTAAAAATGTCCTCATATCTTAAAATGTCAATCAGAATTCCTATTTGTGTGTCTGAGAGTCCAACAGTAATTAGCTTTTCTTTGAGATGAAATAGCAAATGTGATTGACTCATTGCACGCATTTCCAAATAGTCTTCAATAATAGTATTAATGGTGGAGGATGGAATCAATAGTTTGGCTTGTAAATTCAAACAAAGATAAAAGTCTCAAAACATGTCCTTTTCTGTGATCTCTGGAGAAATCACCTGTTCATTACTGATGCAGCTTGAAACTTCTGGATCCAAATTACAAGCATCAGGAGTATCATGAGAGTTAGAAGGATATGATAAGCCTACACCCGAGGACATCAGACTCTTTTCAGAAGAATGTTTATGTTTTCTTGACGTGTGATGTAAATGTAGACCCGACTGTAAAAGTTTTTGTGCATTGTTTGAAAGGGCACAGAACTGATCTTCCCTCTTTGATATGAACTTTAAGATGCCCAAAAAGACTATAGCATTACAAAACTTCACATGGCATTTTAACTCAGTCCTATGAGTGACGTTATGCCGATAGATGTGACACTTAAAAGATATAAACTTACTAAACACCCTGCTGCACCCAGAAAAACCACACTTGAACATTACATTTGCAACGTTTTCACATGTACCTTATGTAATCAGCTGCATCACTGCACGTTTTGGAACATACAATGTCATTATTAAGAATGTTTTTTTCTTTGTTCAAATCTCAGAACACCAAAAAATGTAAAACTGACAGCAATATCTGACTTTGCAATACCAGTAAGTTCAAATTGTACCTTTTATGTGGTCCAGCAACAAAGCAAAACTGTGGTCCGTGTATGTGACCTGCAATAAAATAAGGAGTAAGTTAAAAGCCTACAAAATAAATTTAGAAAGCAGAAGCATAATTCACTTCTGAGATATGGCAGTCTGCTGTAATGGACACTACATTCGGTGTTGTGCTTGCATGCTTGGCTACTAGAAACAAGAACACTAGAATAACGATGGAAAAATGAAAGAAATAATAAATGTGGTTTTGAAGTTTTTGTATTAGACACACATTAGCTACAAAGTACTTGACTTATGACTAAATATTAAGATAAATTTATCTTTTCACCATGAAATTGCTGCTACCCGACTTTGGCCCAAGACATCTAATCATCCAAAGTAAATTCAATAACAAATGACATAACAGCACGACCCCTTTCCTAAATTAACTCTATACCATGTAAAACCATAACTTACAGTGTTCAGAGTGATTTTACTTACCTTTCTGATGTTTTAAATTTGGAGGATGAATGCTGATTCTCTAAGACGCAAATACAAGTAAAATGTCTTGACTGGGAAAAATACTGCATTGTACAATTACTTTGCGGTAGTTTACTGTCAGTCATCAGTCTTGATTGTGACAACAGAAGACATCAAAGTTACAATATTCTACCGTATTTTATAATAAGTGTGTTACTGCTAGAATTCTGCTGTAAATTTACAGAAATTTCTAAGAGTAAAAAAAATTGGGAGCCCTGTCAATAATAAAATCAATAATATCCTTTTTTGTTGATTTTAGCAGTAAATTTTAAAAGTTACCAATTCCAGATCAAAAAGCAAAGATCCATATTTCCTGAACAGCCCAGTGGATCTGCATGAATGGTTTGTTCCTGCTTAGTGAACTTGAAGGTAACAGTGTTCGGCAGCAACCAAAGACTACAACGACTGAGAGAGTGAAACTGTGCAGTCAAGAAAGTAACATTCAGGTTTTCAAAAAAGATCAGAGAAAATAAAAAATAACACAGCATAAGATACTGTGTCTCTTTATAAGCCAGTTTGTCTCCAAGAGACGTGGATAGACTGTAGTTTGAATCCAACGCGCTCCCAGACTGCTCGCTCCTCCTCACCAAGCTGTATGCTACACTTTATGGTAGGAGACAAGGAGCCCAGCAGGTAACTTTAGTAAGTCACATGATGATGGAAGACAACGCTGCTCCCTTTCCATTCATTTCTATAAAGATTGCGCAGAAAGTCGCTAGCTCTCCTCCACCTGATGTACATGTGACATTTTAGTGACGCTACAAAAGAAAATTGAAAATTGTTCAGCTTTTGTCGTCGTTTTCGTGTCTCCTGTGTTTGGTTCAGCCCGAGTGGAGGAAAACTGATGCCTTTAGCTCCCTGTGTGTTTAGCCGTTACCAAGGAAACCAGAGGAGAGGGAGTAACACGAGACACCAAAGTGAAACTTTTTGTCATCCAGTCTCTTTGGTAGAAAGAGAGACAACGAAAAGAAACAAGCAATATTATAGCCATGATTTTATTATCAAGCTCATTTTTTTTAGATTTGTGCGATTGATCGATTTATCGCGACAATCCTCGTTCTCAAATGTATGACTTTTCTTGTGAGGATTTAACTGGCTAATTCGAGAGAAATTCTTTCCGCATAGTTGGCATGAAAAAGGTTTCTCACCTGTATGAATTCTGTAATGTTTTTTCAACTTTCTCTTTTGTGGGTAACATCTCCCACAAATGTCACATTTGAAAGGTCTTTTCTTTGTTCCAGTATCAGACTGACTCTCTGACTCAGAGCAGCTGCTTCCTTCCTGATCTTTGCTCTCAACCACTGGAGAGATATGAAGGGAAAGCTGCTCTGTTCTTGTCTCTTCTTCACTCATATCATCTTCCTGAAGAGTAGAAGTCTCAATCAAAGCAACAAACTGCTTCTGGACAAGCTGCTCTCCCTCCTGACTGCTGCAGAGGTCCTTCTGGTCCTGTCCAGTTGGTAAATGTTCTGGTGGCTGCTGTTCATGTTGAAGCACTGAAGAATCTAGCTCCTCTTTTCTTACATACATTAGTGGATATTCTATTTCCTCATGTTTGAACAGTGTAGGTTCTGGTTCCTCCTCTTCTTTTTTAATCCATTTAGGTTCTGGTTCCATCTGTTCCTCTTCAGTCCACTGATGTTCTGCTTCTTTCTGGTCCTGACTGGACCTACTTGCCAGGCTCCAGACTTGTTGGATGGCAGAATCTTCCTCCTCATTTGAGACACTTGGCTGTTGGAGGTCTGTGGAAAAAAAGGATGACGTCATTAATATAATTTAATTGATGACTATCTCATGGATCAGCCTTGTTTTCCCTGGAGATTCTGGACTGTAGGCATCATACAGTTCATCTAAAATTAGTTTGTGAAGTTTAACTGAAGAGCAGAGTGTCCTCCACACAAAATTATGGCTGTGGCAAAAATGTTCTAAAGATTTGAATCCAGAAGTAGAGTTTCATACCGTTTTTTTTTTTATTTAAATATTTAATTTTCGGGCATTCATACAGTGAAGAACTCATCCTACGTTAAGAAAATATGTTTTTAATTTTACTTGTAACCTCAGTTTTTAAAGTTGATCAGACTGTGTAGAAACTTTAATCAGTAAAACATGGCATTCTGGTTCTCTGGATTATAAAGGTGATGAGACACAGAGACTTGTTTCTCTAATCCATTCTTCAAAAAAAGAAAGACGGATAATTTTCTTTAATCAGGTAGATGTCTTGATGTTCAAAAGGAAATGGATCCAAGAAAATATCGAAAAGACTGGCCTAAAATGAAAACCTATTCATTATTTCTCAGACTGTGCATATAAGCAAACACCTGGAAGTGTGAGAGATAAGGCTGGATGAGTTTCTCTCAACACCACACACTGAGGAGGACGGTGGTGCAGGTCAAAGCCACTCCAGGTCAGCTGCACCCTACACACCTCTATGAAGTGTGGACTCAATCGAAGAGTACATATTGGTTCGAGTGCATAGAGAATTGGGACAGTTCGCCCGTGTCCTAACTTCCATCCAAAATTGCGGGACTAGTCACTGTTTAGGTATTTGTGCTGCTGATGAGCATAACTACAATAAGAAAATAGATTTTAAATGTACAGTATAGGTATTTTTGCTTTCCAAATTCATTGCTGGAGATATTTGACTGTTCATATTTTGTCATGACTTGTTGAATACAGAGCAAGATTTGATTTAATCACACATTCAGCAGAGTGAAATAAAAATTATTTCAATACTCTACTGTTAAAAACTGATTTTTTTTCTCTTTTGCTACAGACACAGCTTGCTCTGTGAATATTGCCATATTTCCAAAATGGCAAAAAAATAAAAAAAATTAAATAAAAAATCATATTAAAATGTATTAATATTCAATTTAACAGTTTTCAGGATTTTGCACTTTTAACTTCAGCTGGATTGAGACAGTGTTACAGGTTTGCTCTGCTAGATCAGGGCTGTGCAACCTCTGCAGCTCCAGACCTGCAAATGGCTCTGTGGCTCAATTATTATAAGAAACAATGAAATATTGCACGTTTTTGTTTCATGTTTGTTCTGTGCCTCTACGAAAAGAAAAACAACACAGCTCATCCTTCGTCACCCCCTCTCCCTCCTAATAACCTGAACTGCAGTATTCAGACCTGGAGGTCTGGGGACGAACAGCATGCAATTATTTTTTTAGGATTTACAAAATCACGTACAAGCTTATAAATTAAGAATTTACACATTATATTCAAGCATTTCCAGCACTGATTATAGTTGGAATCATATATTTAGTCACGGGGCTTAAACGAAATCCATCTGGTTTTCAGAGACTCGTAAACAAATTTTCTGTTTGTGTTGCAACTTTTTGTCCTGAGCTACAAAACTATCAGCCTCTGTAGCATCAGAGCTAGCAGCTAAATCAGTTCCTGTTCAGCAGCAGCTGGAGCTGCAGCAACTATCGCCGCTGACGGATCTCTGTCTGCAGTGAAAACATCAGCACCTTTATCCAGACCTACCAGAACTTTGTAGCTCCGAACCGACTCTGTGTAGCTTTATTTCTGGTTTCCAGTCGATCCCCATCATCCTGCGCTGAGCATCGAGCTCTTCCTCGTAGCAAATGATGGTTTTTTCAACCTCTGTGAAGATTTCTTGAGCAGCAGCAGTTAGTCGCTCTCTGATAAACTCTCTGAGATGCTGAACTGAAGACATGGTTGCTGAAATATTAGCTCAGATGGGACAATGCAGCAGCTATCTAGCTTAGCCCAGTTAGGCTTCTTCTTCGATTTTTTTTTTTGGCTGTATGTAAACAAGGAAATTGGTGCATTGCTGCCCCCTACTGAACTGGAGTGTAGACAGGTGAAAAACAACTTCGTATTAATTCACAAGTCTGTATTTCGAGACAAAAGGCAGTCCATACTGTAACAGAAAGGTTACTTTAAATACCCTTAATAGTAGATGGCAAGTTAAGTTAA